TGGGCCTGGTCACTGGCAGAACACACGCCCAGCACCCCGCCTGGGGCTCGCTGTTAAAGCTGAACTAGGTCAGTCCCTCCCTCTTTGGGGGACATTTTCTTATGCTTTTATCTCCCACAGAAGAGCTGTCACAACCCAGCACCTCCTGTTGTTGTCTCCTGTATGACAGAGGAAAACCTGCAGCTCTGCCAAACACTGCTGAAGCTCTGGCAGGGGTTCTGAGGGAGCTCAGAAGGGGACTCCTGAGCAACACGGCAGCCAGGGCAGCACGAGCAACACGAGATATTCACCGTGGCTGACACCCCAGCCCTCTAAAGAGACCAGCACAAGGCTCACTCTGCTGGCAAGTAGCTGTCTGGGACTCTTGTCACCACAGGACAGGTTTCTCTGGTGTTTCTGGCTCCTGGTGTCACCCAGCCCCTGGCTGTAGCAAGGAGAATGCTGCTCCATGTGAAGCTGAAGGAGGGATTTCTTTGATGTTGCTCCTCTGGGAGGCAGGGAAATGAGAACTGGTGTCCACTGCCCGGTCACAGAGGCGTAAGAGGCTGAAGTATCTGCCTGCAGAGCTGTTCCCACAGTAAAACCAGTCAATGCTACAGCTGGCCCAACTGGGAACTTAGGACAACAACAGAAAATAAAGCTCCACCAGCTTCAGTTCCTCATCTGCAGCCCCCTTAAGGTGCAGCACCAAAGAGCAGCCAGGTCTCAGTGTGAGGTGGCCTCTGGTGCTCTCCCCAACTGCTGCTGCAGTTTCAGGCTACACCTGCAGAGCAAACCCTGCCAGGCTGTTACCATCAACACCTCACTCCTGCACTGATGGCCTCCTGAAGGAAACCAGTGGCCCTGCAGCTCTTGGGCACTGACCCACTTCTGCTACACAGAGACTTTCTGTTCTGCTAAATGCCACCTCCCTTCCACTGCCTGTCCCTGCTGGGGCTCGGTCAGCTGGGAGCAGCCAGGCTGCCCTGGGGGCCTCTGACAGGAAGACTTTGGCTAACAGGACCAAAGGCCTAACCAGGGGAGCTGAGTCCAGCACTGCAGTGAGGCCATGGTTTCTCTTCATCTCTTAGGACAGATTACCTCCAGAATCTGTCCTAAGAGATGAAGAGGAGGCAATCTCTGGGAATAAAGGCAAGATTACTACTAGTCATGGTCCTGGAATTGAAAGGCCCACATGCAGACAGCTCTAGAAAGCACATCAAAGCCTTGGGGCAGAAGTCCTACAGAGCCCAAGGTCCCCAGAAGGGAAGGACTGGGACTGATACCAGGATGGAGGTTCTAAGTGCAACCAGTTTCTAAGCTACCAGTAGTTAGGGGTGTTAGCACCACAGAGGCAGCACAAAAACCAGGGCCAAAAACTGTTGGTGGGCACCCCAGCATGCCAGATCTTGGTGCTCCAGGTCACAGCACTGAGGAAGGAGCTGTGCTGAGCCAGTGCTGGGGGCAGGAGCCTCACAATGGTCCTGCTGGCACTGAGGAGCCTGCTCCACAGGCCCAGGCACTCCCACCAAAACCCTCCAGGTCTTGTGGGGAGCCAGCATGGAGCTGGCGTGCAAAAGCCTCTTCCCCTGAACTCCTTCCTTTTAGTCTTGCCCAAAGCCATCTGCTCTGGGCACACAACAGACCCCCTGGGGGAAGCCATCCCATCCTCAGGCCTCCCACTGACCCGGGGACAGGTCTCTGACGTAGGGAAACCCACAGATTTTATCATCTCTGAGCATGGGGTCTGCCCAGATGTGGAAAGCAACCAGCTTCTAAATCAAATCCATTCTTGGCATCAGGGAAATACTTTCCAGCCCACACTTAACAGGAATAGCCATGTAATAGAAGTAAACAGTTCAAGCTTGGGGTTTTGGGGAATGCCACTGCAGGCACAAGAAAGCTCAGATGTTTTTAGACAGAGCCCAGCTTTAACTGAGTACCCAGCACTTGTTCCTAAAGAAGAACACTGCAGCAGAGAGCAGACAGCAACGATGCTGCCTAAACCCACTGCAAAGGACCTTTATGGGAAGAACTAGAAGAAATGCAACTTGAAAAGTTTTGAAAGAGGGCCTGTAAACAGAGCAGAATTACTCCTCTGGGAGCCCCAAGGCTGTGGGGGCACTGAGCATCCTGCCCACCCCCACGCAGCTCAGGGAGGTCTGGGGTGAGGGCAGAGAGCCACCACTGCAGCCCAGACACAAAGGATGTCCCAAAGCAGGATTTCAACAACATTTTCTTCCTAGATGGCCAAACTTAAAGGTGGGACAGAAAGCCAACTGAGGAAGGCCAGCTAAGAGCTGGTGGGGGATACCTGACAGTGACTGCAGCATGAGGCTGCTCTGCAGCACTGAGCTCTGCCCCACTGCTGCCCAGGAGCTCAGGCAGCACCCCACAGAGCAGAGGGAGGGGAAGGAGCAGCCTGCCCCAGCACTCCTGCCCCAGCACTCCTGACCCCGCCTGCCCCAGCACTCCTGCCCCAGCACTCCTGCCTGTGCAGCTGATGAGCACGGACTTGGCAAACTGTCATGGGACAGCCTACGCTCTGCAGGTTGTGCCTTGCTGCCCTTCTCCAAGCCATGCACTGTTTCTAGTTCTGGATGTCACACAGGAGTTCCTGTCCCTCCCTGCAACCTATAACCCCCCATCACACATCTCAGCATGGGATGGGGACAACAGGCGTGTGAAAATCCATCTTTCTCTTGGGGAGTGAAGTCAGCATGTCCTCAAATCATCTCTTCTCAAAGTCAAACCACCCCCTGGGGCCAGTCAGTGTCCTCCAGGGCAGCAGAACGAGCCAGCAGTGACTCTCCTTGGCACAGCCCAAACCATTTTGACCTCAAGGCACTGTGGGCTCTTACCTGAGCGCTTCGTGGCCATTGGGGTGACGTTTGTCCAGTGTCCAGTGTGTGGATCATACCTCTCTACAGAATTCAGAATGTTCAGCCCATCATAGCCACCTGAAACAAAACACAGGAGCAAACTGGAGAGCTTTGTGTAAAGAGCAATAACACGCCTGGTTCATCCAGCAGCTGGATGCCTCCCCTCTCCAAACCAGCACCACCAGGCTGGCACTGCACTGCCCCAACTGCCCCTCAGTGTGCTGCTGCCAGCCTTGATGCCATCCTGCTAACCCAGACCTGCAGCTTCCAGAGCTGGTGCTGCAGCCCACAGCTGCCAGCTGATGCTCAGAGTATAGGCTGGGATGTCTCGAGCTGTTTCACAAGAGTATACCCAGAAATCTCATCGTGCAGCTTCAGCAAAGGAGCAGCAGGCTGGCATCTGTCTTGCAGGACAGTGCAGGGAAGAGGAATTTGGGAGAGGGAAGTGAAACCCATAAACCAGTGCCCAAAGTCTGAGACCCCCCGGGGAACAGGACTGCAACAAATCTGGGTACAGCCCCAGGCCTGCCTCTTCTGGGGCCCAGGTGTCTCTGCAGAAGAAACTGCAGCCCTGAGAGTGATCTCCCTCCAGCACTCTCACCACATGGACAGCTGCTGTGGGTCTGTGAAAATGAAACCTGTGCTACAGAAAGGAGCTGGGAAGCACAGCTCAGGATACGCTTCCAGAGCACTGCAGCCAACGCTGCCTGGTGTGAGCAGAGGCACCCCCTGCCCTGTGGCCATCTGCTCCATCTCCAGGGCATTTTAGCCACTGCCCTGTCCACGCACTCTTCAGCTGGCCCTGCCCACCCCCTGTGCTGCTGCTGTCACTCAGACACTGCCCCAGTGTGCCCAGTCTGCTCACTGACAGCTGGACACTCAACCTGCTCTCCTGACCTGGGCACGACACGACCGACGGTCCTCACGTCCTGCCTCTGCTCTGCCTGTAAAAACAAGTGTCTGCAGAAGGCCCAGGGGTCCTGAGGCACCTACCCAGGCAGTAGATGACTCCGTTGGCCACCACGAGCCCTGCTCCCTCCCGTGCTGTCTGCATGTCCCCCAGCATGCTCCACTGGTCGATGTTGGGGTCGTACCGCTCCATGCTGGTGTGACGCCGGCTCCCGTCGAAGCCTCCAGAGACATAGATCATGTCTGCAAGGGCAGAGGGGCTGCACTCAGTCCAGCCACTGTCAGGCATGGGGAACCAGGAGACCCTCACAGACAGAGCCAAACACAGCTACAGAGCCTGGCACCCTCAGGACAGACCCACCCTGCCCACCCGGCCCCATGGTGTCAGCCTGCTCACAGAACAAACATGAACCCCCTCTGGCCCTTCCACCTGCTCCCTGCTGAAGGTGACAGAACATGCCCAGCACAGATATTTTTTTTCATGCTGCACAAGCCACTGAAACGCTGCCATGGCCAAACCCTGCCCACCACCAGCACTGTGGCAGCAGTCCATGCCCACAAGGCAGTGTACTCAGGTAGCAAAATGAAAGGTCCAAAAGATGTGTCTTTCTGGATCATCAAGATCAGCCCCTCACACTGGAGAGCCTAATTCATGCAACGCTTCCTCAAATCTGTCCTCTTCAAAGAGGTGGCATTGGAGACAGAATTTTCATTATAATAGATTATTAACTATTTAAATAAGTAACATTTCACCAATATTAATTATTAAGAAGATATTCTAATACAAACACTAAAGCACAGACTGTGCAGTAGAGTGACTGCTGTTTTAATGACTAAAAAACATCCTCCCATTTCCACACCAACTTTTTCCTGGCCTGTTTATAACCGTTTGTTCTTCCTCAGTTCTCACGTTGCCTATTCCCTCCTCGTGCCAAGTTAAACTTGTAGAGAACAATTGTGTCCCCTCTTGGCCTTCACTTTGCCAGCATAAGCATGTTGGAGTGTTTCTGGTTTGCTCAATAAAGCAGTTTTCTTCTTCCAAGTCTATCCTGAGAATCTTGCTCTGCACATGCTCCTGATTCAGCCTCTCTCCAGTGTTGGTTGTTGCTGTATGTGGTGTCCTGTGCTCAGTAATACGTGACACTGTCACCACCCTGTGTCCCACTCTCTAACCCCTCAGAGTCCCTCTCCCTCAGTGCACAGACACATGCTGTAAGAACGAAGCAGAGGCAGAGCTCCTCTCAGGATACGTGGGCAGGTTTTCCATTTCTACATCCAAGCGATGAGAAGGCAGCACTTCAGCCTCACCTCCTCCCTCAGAAGGCAGCACTTCAGCCTCACCTCCTCCCTCAGAAGGCAGGATTTCAGCCTCACCTCCTCCCTCAGAAGGCAGGATTTCAGACCCACCTCCTCCCTCAGAGCCACCCCACTCTGCACACACCAGCTCAGGGCATTCCGGGACGAGAACAGAACGGGCTGTGCTGCCAGCACAGCGACCAGGACACACCTCCAAGGGTCGTGGCTCCTGCCAGGCCTCGGCGCACGTTCATGGGAGCCACGGAGTACCAGATGCCATCCTCATCTGCTGTGTAGTCCAGGCACTCCACGGAGCTGAGGCGCGAGCGGCCGTCGTAGCCCCCGATGACGTAGATGCGGTCGTGCAGGGACACGGTGGCCACGTAGCGCCTCTTGCGGGTGATGCTCTGGGAAGAAGAACAGAAAGGTCAGGGAGGAGAAATGACACAGACAGAGAACAGCCACTGGTTTTGCACCCTCCTTCCCTGCTCTTTTGGAGAACAGCCCGCTACCACAGGGGCACCCAGCACTGTGGATCTGGAGGATTCAGCCCTAACCGCTGCGCCGGCTCCCTCTGCCTGTGCTCGGCCTCTGCCAGCTCTTTTCAGGCCCTGCTCTCTTGGCACTGCAGTATTTTGCATTAAGTGTCATTTATCTGATGCTGCTACTGAATCTTTGATGTATCTTGGAGGTTTGTGTGCCTCCCACTGGTTCTCTGCACTGTTAATGGGAAAATGTGGAGACTCGGATTATTTGATCAAAGTACCTGAAGCTTTCAGCCCGCAAAAAAGAAGAGAATTTTGGGACACCAGCTGATACTGGGTCATCTGTGTTTAGTGATAATGAAGACGAGGCAGTTCTCCATCATTTCACACAGATAAAGGAGGCTAAATTTAGGTAGAAATAGTCCTCAGTGCAGGAATTCTCCCTCCCTCTCCCCCATTATGCTCAGGAACAATGAAACCAGGGAGATCACACAGCCTGCCTGGAAGCAGGACTGACTATACTATTCCTACTGACATTTCAGTTATCATCACTAACCTTAAAGCTTAACACCTCTTCAGTAAGAAACATGATAGCTCTCACTCCCACAACAAAGATGTGGGTCTCTGTAGGCTCATCTGATTAGAAACATGACAACCACCCCCCATCCAAAGCACACTTAGCAAACCTCCAAATGTGACGTGCTTTCAGCATTCCCTGGGTACACCTCAGCAACTTCAGTCAGAAATTCTAAGCTGAATGAAAAGGACAGCCCAAAAAAGAGTGTTCTGCAGCTGGTGTGACAGGATCAGTGTTTGATCACAGCCTGTTCAACCCAGGGGTTGTCAAAAATGGGCCCTTACTGGCAAGAAACTCCACTCCTGGGTCTTCGGGTCGTATTTCTCCACGACATCAATAGGTGACTGCTGGCTGCCAAAGCCGCCGATGACAAGCAGGACTTCATTGGCTCCTAGAGCAAAGAGAGAGGGCAAAGTCAGGTCAAGCCCTTCACAACCAAAGGGTCGCCTCAAGGGAATCCCCTGAAGAAACACTGAGCCCTCCCTGGTGCAGTAAGCTACCTCTAAATCCCTGTTTTCACCACTGCTGAGGCAGACACAGAGCCTGGCTGCAGGCACTTGGACTCTCCCTGTCCTCAGCGGGAAGAGAGAGAAACTCTTGCAGGGTGCACAGCAGGAAAACTAACTCAGATGTTAGGAGCTATCTGCTGGAGGGCTGTTCCTAATCTTAGAGGCACCCTGAGAAGAGAAGCTGGCTCAGCTGGGTGCTGAAGCTGGCTCACTGCTATCCTCCTTTGCTGATATCTTTCCATCCTTTCCCCCAGACCTCTTGCCGCTCACGGGGAGCTGGAGGAGGATGGCTGCTTCCCCACAGCCTCCTCACAAAACAAGGCCACCTCCCCTCGTTTCCAAGTGACATCCAGACCAGATGGCACCTTTGTTCACCACTTCACTGAGAAACAAGGCAGGCTGACTGAAGCCTGAAAAATTAATGAAATATTTTCCCAGGAATTGTCTCTTAAGTCTTATGTATTTTATTTCAAAGTTGCCTTCCCTGTGTTTCCTCTTCTCTGAGACGGTTCCAGAATTTTTACAATTTTCTCTATGACTCTTAAATAGCACCTGGAGAGTTTTAACTTCCCTTGTAATGATTGCCTTGTGATTACAGGCTTGTATCATAGTTTTAAAAATAGATGAGCATCCCCTGGATGCCTTGGGCCCCTTCTTTAACAGGGAATTTTACTTGAGTTTAGAACAGTGCAGCTTATCATTGCAGAAGGACTGAACACCAAGCAACAAAGATTTAACCAGATCCTGTCTGTCACAAAGCAAAATAGCTGCCACCTCAGATGAAGAAAAAGAATATAAAAAAACCCCAGAAGGATTCACAGAAAAAGCTCCCACAACAGCTTGGAAAGGCTCCTGTACAGTACCACAGCTAAAGGTGCCAGCATTTTAGTTTATCACATAGGAAGTTAATCTACAGCTTGATGACAGTTTGTGACACACGACAGGAGCACTGCTGATGGAACTGAGTCAGTTAAAAAGGTAGGGCTGGATCCAGAAGATAAACCTTAGAACAAGGTGCAAACTTTTTAGCTGTACTATGAAACCTTAGAACCATGTCACCCTTTATCTTGCTTCTCCTTTATCTAGTGAAGCAATTCCACTAAGGACAGAATGGAACATCCCTTTCTAAAGTGAGAGGCTGAGCTGAACTGGCCTGAAAACTGATGTAGGATGTTCCCACAGGAAGAGGAGACCTGCTCTGGCCTGGACTATGCTGGAGGCCAAAGGACACCACAGGAACACTCCCTTCAGGCCAGGAAAGTTTAATCAATGTGTCTCTTCAACAAAACTAATGTACCCTCCTCCTTTAGTGGTTAGGCTGCTTTCTGTCTCCTGAAACAGTGCTAGGAACAGGAAAGGGCCATGAGGGGTTTCTGCAGGGCTGTTTTCTTGCAGGAAAAGCAGCCAAAGGCAGTGCCCTGTGAGCATGCCTGGGATGAGAGCATGGCACAGACAGTCCTGAGACAGTGACTCTGAAGATCAGAGAGAGGAGGAGGTGAGGAATGGCCACAGTCATACAGAAGCCATTAAATTCTTTTCCTTCTTCTGCAGGTGATTCCTACTGTTTATGTTGCTCTCAAGTGCTTACACTCCCAAGACAAGCATTTTCCTAACAATTCAGTGACTGCTTGGTAGGAGTTACTGAGATAAGAGGAAGAAATTATTTCTTTGCCTTAGCAAAAGTAGGGAAAAAAAAAGTAAAAAAAAAAAGTACTTCTGAAGGGAAAAAGGGATTTCTTCATCTCCCTCCTTGTGCCTTCTCCTCTGAGATTCCCTGCTGAAAACTTATCTTTGCTGAAATGCAGCTCTCTCACCTGGCAGCTCTTTTTGTCTCTGACATGGGCACCTGCCTTTTTAGACAGGAATAAAGTCTTCCCACACTTCTTGGGCAGCTGCATGCTGAGACAAACATATCTGGAGGCACCAACAACTCAGAAAACTGGTTTTATGGTTCCAGCAGAGGCCTGGGATTAAAGGCAACCATCCACTTCCCTCATTGGCACTAAGCAGCTGTGCTCTGAAAAAACCACCCCTGTCCTCTGCTCCAGTCCTCTTCTGTCCCACCAGGGGCTGGGGACTGACAAGCTACTGCTGTGAAGCACTTCAGTATGCTTACAAGGCACTGGCCATGGTGTGCTTGCAATACCTGCCCATGCCCAGAGCACCTTCCTGCTCACCTAGACGTGCTCTTGTCCTGGGTCCTTGCATCTGGCTCCGGAGCTCAGGCCTGAGGTGAAATTTCTTGGCTTCATCTACCAGGTCTCTGCACTGCAGACTGCATCGGATAAAAGGCTGGGGAAAAACATGAGTCACTGGTACATGCAATATATTTTAAGATCCCTCATAAGAATGGTCCTAAAGCCAACTCTCATCACTACAGACAGCAAATAAATGACTTGTGTGCAGGCTGTGGTGAGTGGTGTCCCCGTGCAAATCCTGCACACAAGACTGCAGACAGTGTGAGACTGGACTGCAGCTGGAGAGACAGCTCAGTCCTCACACAGAGCCTGGCTCTGCAGGTCCCATCAGGAAAAGAACAACACTGGAAAACTGAGGAAAAGCCAATTCTGCTACATTTAAGCCAGAAGTATGTCTGAGAAGGGGGACTGGCAGTGAAACTCCACTTGAAATCAGTTTGGCTGGATCTGCCCCACACAATCAGCTCTGGGCGTGCACTGCCACCAAAAACTAAACAAGCAGCACAGCACCATGGAGCAGCTCAGCTGGATCTATGAGCTTGATCCCTGTGCACGTGGGACATGGAGCTCTGAGGACAACAGAAGCAGTGAGGTCTATTAAAGAAGTGGGGTGCACTGCAGCCCAAGGACAGCCTCATCTCCTTCTTGCACAACACCATGTAACTCTCCCTGTCTGAGGGCCTGGCCCAACCTCCCCTAAACGTTCAGTGTTCAGCTCCCTGTGGGATTTGGTGCTGTGTGCTGCTGCAGCAAGTTAAGATTTCCTTTTACAACCCCTTGGTGCTTGTGCAGGAAGGCCATGCGTGGTGTTTAGAGCAGATGATGCCACACAGGGCCAACACTCTGCTCTCTGTGCTGCCCCAGGGTGGTGATGCCCCCCCAGTGTGTCACTGCCTGGCTGGGGAGCCCATCCTCTGCAGTGAGAAAGCTGAGGCCCTGTACTCACACAGGATGGTTTTGGAACAGATCTAATAGTTTTGGGACCAGTCCCTTTCACATTACCTTCAGTTTCAGTTTAAAGTGGACCACAACAATCTGACTAAACGCACTGTAGCTCTGGTACCACTGATCTGCCTGTTAGCTGCCCTCATTTCAGCATGTCTGTAAAAGGCAGCTAGGCCACGTCAGGGATGGCTGTTGCTACATCAGCCCTTTCTGTACATGGTGAAGACTGTCACTCACCAATCAACACCTGTCAGGGGACAAGGGACCACCAACCACCTCACATCACCACCAAACCAGAATGCTGGTCTGAACTCCTCTGCCCTCCTGCCAGCCCTTGCATGGGGTCAGCACCACTCCCTGTTTGAACTGAACTTCCACTGCACACACTTCATCATCTCTTATCAGCACCCACAGTTTGGGTTCTCTCTGCAACACTCCAGCCACAAAAAGGAGCAGTATCAGATATGGCTCTTAGCTGCTTGTTGGGCCTGGACCTACACAGCTGCCATCCTTCTCCTTGAACAGTATGTGCTTGCCATCTGCACCCAGAACAGCTTCTGGGAGCCACTCCCTCCCTAGGACTGCACGCTGCCAGCCTCCCAGCCTAGAGAGGGTGACCTGCTGGTGCTTGTGATGAGAGGCAGAAAGCACCTTAGGAATGGGAACAGATGACAACAGCAAGGTGCTCCCTGTATCAGAGGAGACAACTGACTAATAGCTCTGGATGGGGCACCCTCCTGGCTGAGAAGGATGCTGCTGAACTGCTGGCACAGCAAACCCCTCCCGGGTAAAGCAGTGGCCACTCCAGCTGAGCAGGGACAGCTCCAGAGTGTCAGTGTCAGAACGCCTCAGCAGAGGAAGCAGCTTCTGACAGGCTCTGGCAGGGCAGCGGGAGCCTGGCAGGGAGCAGGGACCTGGGGAGGGG